GCCCAGAGCCCCCTCCCAGCTCCCAGCAGAGAGAAAAGAAAGGAAAGTGTCTGTACCTCGGGACTTACTGTGTGTTTCTTAGTCATTCTCCAGAGGATGCAGGTGAGCAGCATGTGGCCCAGGGCCGACGAGATGAACACAATGAAGGCATTTTCATGGATTGCTGGATCGACAAGACAACAGTTTTCCTGTTCAACCCGAGCCAAGAGCACAGGGGGGACACGGGCAGGATTTGGGAGGGTGAAGGAGTGCTCTGGGCAGGAGGGGGTCCTGCTGGGAGCCCCAGAGCCGAGGTGATGCCCAGCCCCTGGAGGGGTCTGTGCAGGGGACAGGCACAGCACAGCTCCATAACCTGCCTGTGGTGCCTCATGGCCCCCTGGAGGGGGATACAGCTTGCTGGAACACTCATCCCAAAGGGCCAGGAGGGTGTTTATGTGCTGTAACCTCAGGGACCCTCAGGAGCAGCTCAGCATCACCACTTGTTGTAGGGATGGGGAAACCGAGGGACAGAGGGCAGGGGGTGCAGAGGGGGCCAGTCCAAAACCCAGGAAAGTCCATCCTCTGGCCTCCTGCATTACCCATCTGCCAATTAACACCACCAGCAGCCTCATCCCCAGCACTGGGGAGGACTCCTGCATCCCAGCTACAGGATCAGGCTGGGAATGCAGCTGGAGCAGCTCCTGAGGCCCCAAACCACCTGCAGCCCCTGCATCCTCAGGTGAGAGATTTTCACAAAAGTGCTGCAGTGTCAAAGAGTTTCCCAGCCCCTTCTCCAGGAACTGCACCTCAGGCTGAGTTCCTGACCCGTAGGACACCAGGAATGACTGTCCCTGCTTCCCTCCCTGATCCCAGGGGAAGGGAAGCACACGAGGTGTGAGAGGTGAGATCTGAGCCACGTCCCACAGGGAGGATTAACCTGAGCCCCTTTTCATCTCAGCAGGCAGCTCAGGTCTGGAACTTTCCCCAGAAACCTGGGATTAGTCTGAGCTGAGGATCTGAGAAACTGGGTCAGGCTCAGCTCCCAGAGTGGCTCTGTCTAGAGACACCTTGGCCTTCCCCTCCCAGAGCTCTGCACGAGGTGGATGTGGCTGTCCCAGGGATGAGGGGCTTCTCCAAACCCCAAATGAGCACCTGCATTTCTAAGAGCAGGTTCCCAGCCCAGACAGGTCAGAGAAGCCCCAGGGGCAGGTCAGGCTGCAGACCCTGCCATGGGGGGACACTGCAGGAAGGGTGGGAATGGGGTAACTCATTGTGGGGAACAGGGAGTGCAAGCGGATGAGGAACATCCCAAAACCACAGACCTCCATCAGCTGGAGGTTCACATCCAGCCACCCTGGTCACCAGGGATCCACCAGGGATCTCCATCCTCACCCCAAGGGCTGGGGGAGGTCCTGGGACTCTGTTCATGACACCACAGCCCTGAATCCCAGGCTGGGCTGGGTTTGGAGGGACCTCAAAGCCCGTCCAGTGCCACCCCTGCCATGGGCAGGGACACCTTCCACCAGCCCAGGGTGCTCCAAGCCCCGTCCAACCTGGCCTTGGACACTTCCAGGGATCCAGGGGCAGCCACAGCGTCTCTGCCCAACCTGTGCCAGAGCCTGCCCACCCTCCCAGCCAGCAATTCCTTCCCAATCTCCCATCTCTCCCTGCCCTCTAGCAGTGGGAAGCCATTCCCTGTGTCCTGTCCCTCAAGGGCCTTGTCCAAAGCCCTTCTCCAGCCCCTCCCACAGCTGGACACAACATCCATCCTCACCCCAGCTGTGCAGGGACAGCCCACAGGACTTTCCTGCTGACACATCCTAGCACAGGGTCTGTTCCCACTGCAACAGCACCACCTTGCTGGCTCCTGGATTTCAGTGCTCTCCAGTCAATCCCTGCTGCCTCCCCCAGACCCTGGGATGAAACAGCAGCTGGACATTGTCCCCTTGGATGAGACCATGTGTGAGAAGAGCATTTCCCACCCATCATGACCAGGTGTGGCACATTGATTTAGCCTGAAAAACTCTGATTCCGTTTTCAGGAAATTTTAGAGGGCTGGAGCCTC